GATCTGTTGCCTGGCCCTTGTATTCAGTTGTTACAATAGTTACTCTTTTAACACTTAACTAGTGTCTGCTCACAACATCTCTGAAATTATTATAAGTTTCCAGACCGTAGGTGTTACGAACTTCCTGAAATAATTTGAGCGCTGAGTCAGATTGATTCATTAAAATTTATTAAAATTAATCCCAGCGTGTTTAAGAAAATCAAAACAATATTTTTCTGAACGTTTCTCTGTGTAAGCCACAGCTTCTTCAGCAGATTTATTCGGATGTGTCTGAGTGTGTGACATTACTCACAAAGTTATCCACGCACGAAATCCACATCTTCTGGAGTAATCTTATTGGTCAGTGCAGCGAATTTCTGTCTTCTCACGCCCCAACGCGGAGTCTGACGCATAATCCAGTTCACTACAATTAAGAATAGCATCGTGTGGGATATTGGACAGTCTTATCTTAAATGTTTGTTCAGGCGCATTCACCGTATATGCACTGCCGATACAATTGAAGAAGAAAGACAACACCTCACTGAGATATTGTTAGATAACAATTACCCACTGAGATTTATTAAGCGTTACGGAAGCGTCAACCATAGAGCTCTACCAATCCAATCATCTCCCAAAAAGGATGTTTACATATCCCTGCCGTTCAGAGGTGATCAACAAAGTCTGGTCACTAGACAAAGATTCAAGGCTGCAATTAATAGAACTTATTATGCAGCTAAGCTTATCTTCATAGAGAAAACGAGAACTATGCTGTCCTGTAAACCCTCACATTATCCGAACGATAGTGTCACATCCCACTGTGTTTATCAATTTACATGTATGTGTGGAGACACGTACATAGGGAGGACCCATCGGTCTCTGCAGGTTAGGGCTACAGAACACATTCCAAAGTGGCTGCAACAACAAATGAAATCGCCAGACACAACTGACCCCGGAAATAGATGTCCAACATCATCTATAGCGAAGCATATTATAGAGACGGGTCATAAGGTTGATTTCAACAATGCCTTTAAGCCGATATATAAAACAAGGTTGGGCCACATACTTAAATTCATTGAAGCCTTAGCCATAAAGAGACTTAAACCTGTCCTATGTGTCCAAAAGTTATTTGTTATCACCTTAAACCTGCCTTGGTAATCCAATTTAGAACCAAGGTCCAATTTACTTCATAATATTTTCAACCCCTTCCTTGCCTTGTTTTTCTCATTTTATCTTTCTTACCCACACCATTTGCGTCTCCCTAACCATTATTTGTGATCTTGACGTGTACACAATCTGACCTGTATTGTAATTATTCATGCCTTCTTGCCTTCCTTGAAAACTGTGTATGACAAGTACGCGTGTGATCAGAATGTCCGAAATGTGTTGCGCCAATACATTACACGTTTCAGATAAACTACGTCTTCTTATTGTGTTGCCAAATAAATCTGCTGAAGAAGCTGTGGCTTACACAGTGAAACGTTCAGAAAAATCTTGTTTTGATTTTCTTAAACACGCTGGGATTAATTTAAAGAATTCCTAATGACTCTGAAATTATGTTGTTGCTCACACTTTCTGTTTTTATAACTTTGTGCAATATTGTAAAATATATGTTCAGACAGAATTTCGTAACACATAATTGATTCTGTTGAGGATGTATTCAGTTGAAGAGAATCCGCGAAATAAAACGAGGTCGCATTATCTTGCAAATATCTTCGTTCTTTGCTTATATCAAGAGTAGCCTTGAAACTTGCTACCACATAGCCAGTTTGAATTATTGCTTTGGTGGAATATCCTCTCTATGCAGAACTAGTGCTTCTTATCGTCTGAACACTAGGTATTAAGTTTCAGTGTAGGTATTTTGTTTTACTCTCCTCCTCAGCATATGTGAACAAATGGATAAATCACTGTAAAATATTCCACTGGAAATGCATTCAATGAAGTTGTGTATCTCTATGAAAAATAAGAGATCACAATAATAATAATAATATGCTTTATTCCAAAACAGTACTTGTGATACAGAATGGAATTCTAAGCATTTTTACTACAGTATTGCATCCAGTTAGTACATTATCAATAAATAGAAATTCTACATAGATTAAGGAAATCACAGTTCATTATGACAACAACATATTGGCATGTCAGTAGCAAAGACAAAGTTGAAACAGTGTTTGAAAATGTTAGAAAAGTAGGTGCTATCATATTTACTGGCGTAAGCGAGAGAAAGAAACAAAGCAGCACATAACGGAAAAGAAGAGAAAAAAAGAGAGAGAGAAAAGGAAAAGAAAGGAAGAAAATGTTGTACCTATAAATGATATGAGTTGGAAAGACGAGATCCAGTTGTACTACTGACTATTTAATGAATTATAGGTGTCACGCCTAATGCTTTCTTTATCACACAGAACACGAGCTAAGTAGGGTATGGTTGAGTTTTTGTACTTCCTAGTGCGACCATATAGTTTTCTATATAGGCTTCTGGTTTTACCTGATGAGATGCAAGGGGAGAGTTGTGAGTGAAGAGCGTGGTGTGACTTAGATAAAATGGATTTGACCCATTTTTCACATGAGTCCATGTGCCTGTCAACCAGAGTATTAGCAAGCTGGTTAAGTTTCACGTTGCTTACCCTGCTGACAACATTTAACATCCTGCGTAATATTTTATAGTCTTTCTTCAGTAGCCCGGGACAAACTAAGGGGGAACAATAGAGAATAATAGATAGGCAGAATGCGAGAGTTAACGAATTGTAGGAGTAAGGATTGGGTAATACCAGAATGTCTTAACTTCTTGATGTAGAATGTGAGACGGAATATTTTCTTAGAAATCGTCAAGATATGAGACGACCAGGAGAGATCAGCAGATAGAATGACACCTAGGTATTTAATTTTCCGACTTGGTTTCTGGGTTCATAGCATTATTATTATTATTGACTTAGGTTCCGAGGAAAGCGTAGGGTTTCAACATCACACATCTCCATATTATTCTATTCTCTGAAGCCCTCTTTTGATGGAGGATAGCTCCATGACTGCCTTTATTCTGTCATCTCCTCTTCCAACTCACACAGTCTCCTCCATGTCACCTACGCGCCGACGAACCACACTCATCACTTCCTATTTGGACTTCACACGAGCGATTGCCTGCAGTGCGTGCAATGTCATTCCACTGTCTCCTCAAAGTATGCTCGACCGATCTCCACTTCCTCCTAAATATATTTGTTGAGAAGTTAGTTGGGTCTTCACTGATTTCTCCCAAGAGTTTCTTCTTCCTAATTCTTTCTGGCTGGCTGGCTGGCTGGTCATTTTATCTTCAATATGGAGTTCAGTTAAGGAGGCAGCTTTTGATAAAACTCTGAAGATGCCTGTTTGAAATGCTATTCATGAAACACTGGCCAGTTTTCTCACTCATGTAGAAGAAGTGGTTGACTGACTGACTGATTTCATATTTGTGTTGACAGTCCGATTCTTGTTGTTTTTATGCTGAGGCTGAATGCAGTGCAGAAGATTTCCAAACTGATTTCAGATGGATGAAGGTGTATCTCGCATTTCCGATGCTGCCTGGCTGGTGTTGACATTTTCATCGGTTCCGTGTACCACCTGTGGTTGAAACAATGCTTCCTAGCCAGATAAGTGAAGGAATTATTCTCGGTCAAATCTCTCCCGTTGATGGTGATTGATGCTGGATGTGGTTGTTGTTGTTTTCGTGGTTGGTTTGTTATCTTCATCACCTTCGTCTTTTCTATGTTCGCCTGAAGTCCTGTCTTTGATGACAGACTCTTCTGACAGATTTTCGGTTTTCGCCTGCAAGTCTTGGAATTTATGTGACATTCAACATATATCATCCATGCGCGAAATCCAGATCATCTAGGCTCTTCTTATCAGTCAGTGAAGCTTATTTCTATCTTCTTATGCCCCAAAGCACAGTCCACTACAATTAGGAATGTCATCATGTGGGATGTTAGACAGTTTTATCTTACTCCTGTATTCACTTTGGTCTAAATACTTTCCACGTCAGCATCACTCAATCTGTCGTTCCACCGTACTACAACTCTCAGAGAAATTAATCAATGGTCTACAGGTTCAGGCAACAGAAAAATTAAAAAAATGGAAGCTATAAAAATGAAAAAAGCCTTATTCATTCTTTTCAGAAAGCTGTCAAATGAAGTGAGAAAATAGATAGAAACATTGTGACCAACTTGTTTGCTTTTTAAGTCAGCATGCAGTAATACATACATTTTATTAAAAATTATTATTATTATTGTTCCCTTGGGTTCCTAGTGGAATATAGGGCTTCAACTATACGTCTCAGCTTACTTCTGTCTTCTGCTGTACTTCTCACTTGCATCCATGTTAGTCCATACTGTTTCATTTCCTCTCCACACGATCTCCTCCATGGCACACTTGGACGTCCCACACGCCACTTCCCTTTTGGGTTCCACTCAAGCAATGGCCTGACGCGCCATGTCATCCAGCGGCCTCCTCAACGAGTGTCCAATCCATCTCCACTTTCTCCAGCATATTTGTTGGGCGATTGGTTCTTGTTTTGTTTGTTCCCATAGTTTCTTGTTTGTGATTCTCTCCGGCCATCTGATCCTCAGTATAGAGCCAGCGAAGACAGTTGTTGATAAAGGTCTGCAACAGGCTGTTGGAAATATTCTTTGTCACACGCCGTCAAGTTTCTGATCCATCCGTATAGAAGAACTGACTGACTTGACGTTTGTATTGAAAATCCGAATCACTTTGTTGTTGATGCAGGCTGAGTGACAGCGGAAGATTTCCAGATTGGTTTCAGGTTGATGAATGTGTTTCTTGCCTTCCCGATTCTCGCTCGATTTAACATCCTCGTTCGTTCCTCGTGTCTGTAGTTGAGACAATGCTCCCTAGATAAGTGAATGAAAGAAGTAACCTTTTTCAAATCCCTCGTGTTGATGGTGATTAGCGGTGAATGTTGCTGCTGTTGTTGTTTTTTATTAAAAATAAATTCAAAAATAATTAAGAATTTGTATTCTTTCATTTGTTTTGTTTTACAGGGCCAATCTACAAATGTTTTGCATGGTCTGCTTTTCGTGTACCAGCTCGCCTTACTTATTGTGCCTATCTGATACATCCTGTCATTGTTACTATTTTTATTGACGGCACTCAGTCTCCATTCATTATCGATCAGTTGAAAACCGTAAGTTGTAAAAAACATTTGAAATAATTTTTTGCATGTATTTTTCTATACATAATTTGTTTGACTAAATAATTTTATTGGTGCGGGGGTTTCATCATGAGCTGACATCATTTAGAGAACCATTGGAAAACTTGTAGGGAGTATTGTGTGGCTGTTTCGCCCTAGTTTGGGACTCTTCACCAGCACGCATCCACCACAGGGGGTTTGAAACCAGTACCTTCTGGTTACAACATGAACTAGCTCGTAGACCATTAAGCCACTAGAAAATTACTCTGATTCTCATTAGCGAGTGACCTTATTCAGGCAGTTGACCTGGACTTCTAGTGGGAAGCCGTGACCAGAAGGTTAAACGTGAGGCAGTAACTCATCGAAGAAGACACTGCGAAGTGGTGTTCACGTTATGGCATGAATCGCGGCAGAAGATAGATTTCATGGGCTTGCCATTGGATCGGGTCCCAGTGTCTGCTGAATGGTCTACGAGCTTGCCTTCTAACTAGAAGGTCCTGGGTTCGAACGCCGATGGGTACGTACTGTTGAAGAGTCTCAAACTAGGTTGACGAAACAGATGTCCAATACTTCTTGCAGGTATTCCGATGGTTCTCTAACTGACGTCAGCTTATGATGAAATCCTCCAAGCAATCAAACACAATCCCTACAAAACCAATACTTGCAAATAAATTTAGACGATATATTAGGCACAGATTTCATCATAATTCAACATCATATGTGTTAATAAATCTTGGAAATCAAACAGCAGTGTCTTCTACTTCTCAGAAATACCAATGCATCTCAAAGTACCATGATCCATATTCACCAGGATGAAAATATATCTATCACGCATGGTATGATTTCTCTCTTTATAAATTATCCATGTGTATTGACTGAGAGAGAGAAATTCTTACAAAACATAAGCGACAATTATCTAGCGTGATATCATGTTTGCAATTGTTTAATGCATTTTTCAACAATTTTGTGGCTTTTTCGCATATTATGAAACTACTTTCTAGTACTATGTATTTTGATATAGTTGTGTTCTCTGAGCTGAATGGTTTATTTGCGAAGCTTTCACTGACCTACCAGGCAACATTTTCAGCGCAAATTCGAGGCATTGAAAAAGATGACCAAAAAATAGTGATGTTCTTCGATGTCACAGCATTATATACCTCAACTGGATAGAAAATAGCAAAATAGGAGATGGAGCAATTATTCAGCAACGACGAACACCTGCCACAACAATCAAAGACGTAATATACAAGTTGGATGAAATGCGTTACGCTATGTCTAACAACACACTTCCAGTTCAACGGCCAAATTTATGAACAAATTAAAGGAACACCTATGGGATCGCTAATATCAGGTTTGATTGCAGAAGCAGTGATGCAGATGGCTCGAAAACATAATCCTATCAAAGATCAAACCCAAGATTTGGACACGTTGCGTAAATGACACATTTGTAATAATCAAAAGAAACGAGTTGGATAAAACTCACAACAGACTTCATAAACAACGTCTTTAACCACATCAAATTCACAAGAGAGGAGGAATCCGAGAACGAAATCAAGCGAACAACCAGAAGAGAATTAGAAACTCAAGTTTATAGAAAATCATCTCACACAGATGAAATACTCAATAACAACAGTAGCAATCCAATAACACACAAAAATGAAGTGTGCGTCGGTGGCACAGTGGTTAGGACTCTCGCCGATCATGCATATGGTCCGGGGTTAGATCCCCTGTCGACGCACACCCGATATCCATGGTCGGCCTGCCAAATTTGGGCTACCGATATCCATGCTGAAAATTCCATACTTGTACTGAAAATACGGTGTGGCATCAAGCTGTAATCAAAAATAAAAAAATAATAATAAATAACAATGATCCAGAGGGCCAGCCAAGACTCATTGTAGCAATCCCACCTTAAGGAAAATTGAAGGAAGATATCTAGTGGACGTCTCCCAAAAGAATGGACATTCACGGAATTTCATCAAAAGACATACCCCAAAGCGAGCCTAACAAATCAAAGACCCCAATTGAAAGCACAAAGAAAATTGCCCTACCATATATAGAGGACATCTCAGAAATCACCGCAAGACTCTTCAAGCCTTTAGGAATTGACGTCACACACAGATTAACAAAGTCACTTCACTCGGCTGGCTTTATGTCAACCAAAAGACAGACTCAACAACGAAAGAAGATAAAACCAACATTATCATCTACAAAGTAAATTGTAACAACTGCGAAAAACACTCCATTGGCTACAATGGACATCCCCTTAGTCTTCGTATCTACGATAATAAGCTGGCCGTCAAAATACATGGCATTCACTCCCGCATATAGCCACACTGCATACAGACAACCACGGACATCATTTCAACTGGGAAAACCAACGTACAAGTATTAGACAGAGGAAACACCAAGAATGTTAGAGAATTTATTGAAGCCCACCTGATATTTCAGTGAATCGTCAATCAATAGATACATCAACATAGACAAAGTTTACTAATCGATAAAAAGGAAGTCTGACACACACAAAGGGTCCAACTTCAGGTCAAGGAAACAATCAGTGCCAATACCACAAGTAGCCTAGATGGTGTGAAAACACACAAAGACAACCAATGACGAAGTTCAAGTTCACCCACCACGAGAGAGAAGACCAACACACTCGTGGAGAAATCTAGAAGCTCACTTCAATTCCAATTTAAGTATTCGTGCTGAAGAATTTGCCTAGTATGGGGGCAATGAAAGCCTCACAAATAAACCATCCATCCAGATCGGAGAACACAACTACATTAAAATCATCCACGTGAGCTATAAATCTACTCCATCATAACTATGTAATTTTGTATCTATGGCCCTTGTGATATATATTCACAACTTTAAACTTTCATATCAAGTTGAAAATGATTATCGTCTTTAATCTATCTCATCATTACTATGTTGAATTAAATAATAATGGTGACTATATGAACTTGTGTATAGAAATTCGAACTGTAGACCTCTTAAGGGTGAAATCTCTGGAAGGACATCTATGATTAGCTTCTTGTTCTTTTCTGTAGAATTTTTATTTCCTTTCAAGCATTTATGACTTCCCATGTACTCGCATATATCTGATAACTAATCAACAGAACAATAATAAGCATGCCTATATGACAATATAAACATGACAAATATCAACAGCCAGGCAGGTTTTAGGCCAGGAAGAGGGTGTATTGATCATATCTTTACCCTCCAACAGATTCTAGAACATAGACATTCCTACCGGCGTCCAACAATCATTATATTTCTTGACCTAAAGGCGGAATTCGATTCTCTCGACCGAGAGGTTCTCTGGCGATGCTTGGCTGTTAAGGGAATGCCGAGAAAATACATTGCACTGTTTAAGGCACTCTACTCGTACTCATGCAGCCAGGTGAGGGCTTACGGCGAGTTGTCATCTGAAGTGGTGACGACTAGTGGCGTCAGTCAGGGATCCCCATTGTCCCTATTTCTATTCAACTTCATCGTAGATGTACTAATGGACTTAACCCTAACTCAATTCAGCGACTCAGCGATTGAATTGCTACCAGGGAATAATCTCGTTGACTTAGAATATGCAGATGATATAGTCACCTACATCCTAGGTGAAGAAGCTGACAGAATGTAGAGTCTTCTGAACATTTTGAACTGCAATCTTCGAATGTTTGGTATGCGATTCGCTTCCGCCAAATGTAAGATGATGAGTCTACAAAACTGGACTACATTAGCTCCTACCTTAGAAATAGGGAGTGAAGTGGTTGGCAGGGCGTGTTGTTCACTTCACTTCTTTGGGAAGTTGCATCAAAAACAACGGGTTGATCGCTGACGAAATCTCAGCACAGATAGAGAAAGCTAGTTTCGCATGTGCCAGTTTACGCCGTCTCTGGCGTAGACATGATATCCGACTAGTTATCGACCAAAGGACGTGTGTACTGCTCAGCGGAGCAATCTGCTCCGTCCTCCTTTATGGTTGGCTGTGAGACCTGGCCATTGAGAGTGGAAGACATGAAAAGATTAGCTGTGTTCGATCATAGGTGTCTGCGTTCTATCTCCCGTGTGAAGTGGTCGGTGTAATAGGGTGAGCAATATTGAGGTTAGGCATCGGTTGAGTGGGAGATGAAATCAATCGACGAGGCTGTGAAGTTACGCTGATTGAGATGGTTAGGACAAGTGTTACGTATGCCTAGTCATCGCCTTCCTCTGAGGGTAATGTAAGCTGACTGCCATAGGGTCAGGCTGGAAAAGAGCTGTTAGTGGTGGTCAAACCAAAAATGGTCTAATCAGCCAATGAAATCCACAACAGATCGTTTAAGCCAGCCACGTGTGGGGGTGTAGACTGACTTCCTGGATGGGGTCCTCGGGACGGTAAAAACCAATGACGGGCTGGATAAAATCGGTGACATGCCTTAAAATCGTTCTGATTGGCGCAGATACATTCACTCCTTGTGACTTATAATGACCCAATGAAACTATATTGTTCTTCGTTATTACTATTCTTTTTGCCTCATATCTCTGTTTACTGTCTATATTTTGCATTCTTCTCTTGCTTTGTGTTCTACATGGAGGGAGTGTGGGGACTTGAACTGCTGCACGTCTGTGCAAAGTTCTTGTTGAAGCCAGTCAGTCAATATATTGATGGAGGTTCTTTTCGGTAGGTCACCATTCGGAACCAACCAATGTTTTCTTTGTTATCTATCTATTTAACACCAGAATAATAATATCGTACTGCTCAGTTTTAAACCACCAGTGATCACAGGTGAGACTTAATCAATAAATTTCAAATAATCAGAATGAAACAAAAATCAATCAATTGTGATTATTGTTTTCTTTGCATTGATTGGTTCAGGTTCAGTTGACAGCTTCAATAACAGTATTCAGCTATTTCATGGCCTATATTATATCAATGATGGTTGAATATCCTTCAGCTGCAATAGAAAACTATCTACGAGGTTGACTACCAGTCAATTCACCATATCTGGAGATGCACCTTGTTTTTTTAATTCCCGCAAGATATGCTGAATGTTTTTTCTTCATATGACAAAAAATCTGACAAAACTATGTTTATTTGTTTTTTCTTGTGTTGAGACAGGCTTTGTAATATCACATTTTATTATTTATATATATATATATATCTATCTTTTGAATAACATAATGCTCTATTATGAGAAGAAATGTAATTAATACTTTCACGTGAATGTTATCAGCTTCGTATGTTGTATATGTAATGTAGCAGCCAAACAGCTCTTCATTGGTTTGTTCCAAGAGTTTCTTCTTCCTAATTGTTTCGGGCTGGCTGGCTGGCTGGCCGGTCATTTGATCTTCGATATGCAGTTCAGCGAAGGGGGCAGATTCATTATAATGAAGGGCTTTTGTATTTCCCAATGAATGAAAAACAAAACGATATTGCTGTTTTTACTGACGTTTCGCTATTTAATGCTAATAGCTTTATCAAAGCAGTATTATTAAACCGGAATTTAAAAAATCTCAGTATGTATATAACAAAGAGTTATGGGGTGAGGAAATAGACTTAGGTCAAGTTAAAGGGACATATTGGAAGTAAAAATAGCGATGAAGATAACTAGACCAAATAACAAAGGTAACACAACGTACGTCTGTTATGATATCGAAATAAAGTTTACTAACTTCATAATCGTTCGTTAGTCTGGGGGCATTTTTCGTTGTCAAGTTGGTCATTTGGTAAAGATAGCAAAATCGAGTGTAGATTGTTGGATTTGATCAGTGTGTAAAATTATAAAGGCAGTGTGTGTTTACATAGTGAACTTGCTTATCACATTCGTGTTGATTTTGTCACTTGAAGGGGGAGGGAGGTGTTGTAGCCAGGTCAGATTCTGTTTTAGTCCATCATTCCTATTCAGGCAATTTTGATTCCACTCGATATGAAGTGCTTCTGATAATAGACGTTCTTTGTGATATCTGAAGTTTTTCTGGATTATTTCAATATCGTCAGCAGCCACATAGCTCTTCATTGGTTTGTTCCAAGAGTTTCTTCTTCCTAATTGTTTCGGGCTGGCTGGCTGGCTGGCCGGTCATTTGATCTTCGATATGCAGTTCAGCGCGAAGGGGGCAGATGTTGATAAAAATTTGCAGTGGCCCAATCGAAATGCTTTTCGTGACACACTGACCAGTTTTCTCACTCATGTAGAAGTGAGTGACTGACTGTCTTCACATTTGTGTTGAACAGGATCCGAATCTCGTTGTTTATGCTGAAGCTGAGTGAAGCAGAAGATTTTCGATTCTGACTGGCTGGTGTTGACATCTTCATTCGTTCCCCCCTGTGGTCGATAAGTGAACTCTGTCAAATTTATCCCATTAATTGTGGTGATTAGGGTTGGTTGTTGTTGTTGTCTCTGATAGTTGGTTACCTTCATCGCATCCATCTTCTCTATGTACAGGTGAAGTCCTGTCTTCACTGCCTGCCTGTTGGTCTTTGAATGTGTGTGTGTGTGACATTAAGCACAAATCATCCACGCGCGAAATCCAGATCTTTTAAAGCACATAATTCGCCTTTCCTGAATACAACTTGTTCTGGCTGGCGGAGTCCTTCATCCATCGTAAGCTTTATTCTCTCCAGGAGGACACGACTCAGTATTTCACCTGACATGGAGATGCGCATGATGTCAAAAGTATTATCGAGTGGTGGTTGTAACTGATTGTAAGAAATCCAATGCAAGCCCTGAACCCCCCAGGTTTTGTACTTTTTGACACAGGTCAGATGACGGTGGCCAACATAAAAACTAGCCTTATAGCATGATAAGTGCGTCACTTGGTTTGTCTGTCTGGATTCAATAAAGAACTTGGCACCGAAGAGCACCAGTTCGAGTTGCCACGTTCCAAATAGCACACAAAGGTAGACAAGAAAATGAGTGATGAAGAGAATCAATAGAGTTTTGATAAGTATAAGAGTGAAACAGAATGAGTAATGGTAGAAAGGAATATAAAAGATTACAGAGACTGAATACATCTGCGTAAGCCATTGACAATGATTTTGAGCCATGTCATTTATTGTCTCCAGCCATTGATTCTTAGAGTCCCGAGGGCGGACCCCAACCCGGAAGTCTGCATCTCCCTACCTGACTCAGTTTAACTGTCAAGGATTTCATGGATTGATGATGCCATGTTTTTGTTTGGCCACCACTAACTCTTTTCCTACCTGTACCTATATCGGCTAGTAATGCCCGTCGGGGTGGGGGAGGGGATGGTTAGGCATGCGCAGCACGTGACCTAGCCATTTCAATCTATGTAACTTTATAGTCTCTTCGAGTGATTTTCCCTCTTTGCCCAACACACTACGCCTAACGTCAACATTGCTTACCTTATTATACCACCTAACGTGAGAAAGAGATCGTAGACATCTATGATCAAAAACAGTCACTTGGTTTAAGGATGATAAAGGTGTCGTCAACACAATTTTAAGGCAAATTTTCTATTTCTTTTAACCAGTAGAAATTAAGAATTGACTCTAGCTGCTATTTCGCCGATTCCATAATGAGCTAGGATATCTATATATCTATCTATATATATATATATATATATATATATATATATTTAATTGGTGGATGGTGACTAGCAGTGGAATCCAGGATGCGCATTTCGTCCTATTTGGGACTCGTCAACATGTCAACCTGAGACCAAGCACTTCGGTCCAATCAATCGACGGGAAAAATCTAAAATTCAATTATATATATATATATATATATATATATATATATATATATATATATGGTGATCCCATTCGCATCCTTTTAGTCTGCTGCTAGATCTTTCCATAGCATTGCAGATCGATGGAATGACTAAAATTCATCTCGATCCTATCAAGTTTAGGAAAAACACACTGAAATAATTTGGAAGGAGTATGCCCATTATCTTTTGCACAAAAATAGAAATCACAGCAATGAAAACTATTCCCTTTTTTCACCTTCTATTTTCTTTAAGATTCTTTTTTGTGACAAGAAACAGGGTTATAATGCGTTCACCAAATATTCACTGACATTGTTGGTATTAGATGGTTGGAGGCAATCGGCCACAGGAAGCCTTGCTTGACCTAGGTTTCGTGTTAGTTGGCACTCATCAGCAAGGCGTATCTGCAACCTTGAAGGAACTGATGTCCCTTCTGAGATTCGAACCCGCGTCACCCAGTGCTGCAGTCAGAGACGTTACCACTGAGCTATTCAGGCTCGCGACTGACCTTCTGTAGGACTGTATTGGATATATATACATATTGCACCGAAGATAGGACTAGACACATCACACTAGTTACTGACTAGTGTGCCGTCAAAAATATTCACTGACATCCCTATTGAGGTGTGGTTAAGCATTCTACACACTCTGATACACAGTTTCTATTATCTTCGAGACGTATATTAACATTAAGGAGTTACCTTTTTTTAAAATACTTAATAAATGCGTCGTTGAATATACATACAAATACTGAATTTACTATGAAACATGGAAAGTTCTATTTCCTTGATTGACATTGACATGCAACGACTGGAAGATGGTATATTTCTCCAGACGTCAATTTGCTGAAAGCCTACATGGAATGGACGACACTTACATTTTATTAGTTTTTGTCCAAATACCTTCATCAAATGAGCACTAGTAAAGACTCTGTATTATAGTATAGCTAGGAGAATACGCTCTACAGAGAAATTAGGGGAAGAATTTATGATTCTCGAAAAGATGTTGAAAAACAATGGTTACCGTCCAAGATTCGTTAACAAATATGGAAGATGTGAAGGCTTGAACATCAAACAAATTCCAGGGGGAAAAATGCCTGTCTTCATTCAACTGGATAGGAAAGGTAAAAATCTTACAGAAAGAGTCGACAGTAGATTAAATAGGTCACTAGCCACAGCCTATCCAGCAATTAAGTTGGTTCCTTTCCATTGAACAACATGTTGTCTGGTGCAATCACGAGGTGACAGATACCCTTTTCATGTTAACTCCAAATGTGTATAAAAATTTAAATGTCTCTCACGGACTAGTTACATTCGTAGAACAGAAAGAAGGGCACACATCCCATCTTCTGAACATGTACCGAAAAGCCTACACCTCAAGGGAAAAAACGCTTACAACAGTGCCATTACCAGATATCTCCTTGATACGGATCATGAGATGTACATCGCATATTCCTTTAAAATTAGCAATAGACGAAAAAGTTCAGTTTTTCTCAAGTTTGACGAAGCAATCACCTTCAAACGCCTGAAACCCGGTTTATGTGTTCAGAAAGAAGCAGTTATTAGTCTTTCCTTCCCAACCTGGTAATTGGATGTCTTTATTCTCTCTTTCATTTGATTACGTAGTTTTTCGCTTTAACCTCAACCCCCCCTCCCAACTTTGAAATAGTGTAATTTTGCTTGTGTCTTCTTTCTATGATGTGAGTTAAACTCAGTGTACTGTTACCCAATTTATTAGTTACTCATCATCTTACGCATCTCTCCTCATTATTAAGCAACTCCTTTACCATTGTATGCATGAATTTACTTTGTATAAACTTGAACTGTCTGTTTAAAAACTAATGTAAGCGTAATTTATCTGAGCACTATTCACTAACCTTTCGGAACTTTCTGTCAAGTGACATAATTCTGTAAAAAATTTGTAAGTATGGTAAAATTTTTCTGTATATGAACTTAAAAATAATAATAATTAGTATTTATTTATTATCATTTCCTTTAATTTCTAGACGAACATAGGGCTTCAGCCATGCGTCTCCATTGCGTTCGGTTCTCTGCCAACGTTTTCTCCTAGTTACACGTCTGCCCACATGCTTTCATCTCCTCTTTGAATCACCGCCTCCTCCATGTCACCCTTGCAAGGGTGATGGCCTCGTGTGTGATGTCACTTGATGATGGTTTGTTTTCTCAAAGTATGGCCAGACTATCCACCTCGATTTCTTCCTGCATATTTCTTGAACAATCGGTTTCTACTAGGTTCGTTCGCTCCCAGAGAGCAATCACTATTTCCGGCCATCTGGTCTTGAGCGAAGACAGCTGTTGATGAAAGTGTGTAGTTTGTTCGAAGTGCCCTTCGTGACGCAGCGCCAAGTCTATGATCCGTATAGTGAGTAGCACTGACTTCACATTTGAGTTTAATATCCGGATCTTATTTTTGATGCTGAGTGCTGTTGACCTCCACACAGACTTGAGAGTAGTGAAAGCTCGCCTTGCTTTCCCGATCCTCACTTTGATATCCTCGTCAGTTCCGTCTTCTTGCAGTCGAAACGATTCTTCCTAGGTAGGTGAAGGAGGTTGTTTCTTTCAGGTTCCTCCCATTTATTCTGGCTCGTTGTTGTTGCTGTTGCCCAGGAACCTTCATCCCCTCTGTTTTCTCTATGTTTACTTGGAGTCCTATCTTTGACGCTTCTACTGCCAACTTGTAGCTTTTCGCTTGCATATCTTCCAGTTTGTGGGAAATCAGACATATATCGCATCGGCGAAGTCCAGATCCTCCAAGTTTTTTGGGTGGGTCAGTATTTATTTAGGCTGTATATTTACACGCTATGTAAACGGATACTACTATCTACAGGAGTCTTACCTTGCCTTACCCTACAAGTAAGAAGAAGCACGATCATTGGTATAAGGATAAAACTTGGGCTCAGTCGTATCCATGATGGATAAACTTCAGGCAGGATTTCAAGGCTTTTGTGTTCAAGATCTGTCATCGATGAGGCTGATACTTGGGACTCTGCAGGGAGGTCGAGAGAAAGCAGCATATGAAAGTGTCAGGCTAAATACCGACGATTATGCGACAGGGTCAGGCAAACAGTTTCCAAAGTGGGAAGGACTATATATAGTTACGCAGACACAATCGCAAAGGTAAACAAAGAGATACAGGTGGACATCAGTGAGCGCCAAGATTCTAGACAGACAAACAGCAAATGAACAAAGCCCCGAGAACCAAGAAGATCGAACCAACTTCAGTCGCAAGTCTTTCACCGGGGGGGGGGGCTGGCGAGTGAGGTGAGAGCTGGCTCCTAGCCAACATTGGTAGACAGTAATTTACGTCAATGTTTACGTCCCCAATATTGGTGGTGAGAAAAAACACAAGAACAAAGACTGATTCAACAATCAATCACAGCAGACTTTGCATAGGCGGATACAATTCGCAGATAGATAATCTGAACTTCAATAAACAAACGGCCACAAAGAGATGAAAGACTAGCGTTCAGCGAGAAACCACAAATCAGAAGACTGTGTTTATTTGCTTACAATAATCAATAATGTACATGAAAATCTATAAATATCTGTTGATTTCCTAAATAAACGATATGTCGCCACACTACTATGCCAGCTGAAACGAACATAATAACCAGCTAAATAATGTACACTGTTGTAACACACACTCAAGCAAGTAATTCGCACAATACCTCAACATAGTCAAGTGGAAAAAAAATAATAATAAGGAATCTTATTCACTGCAAAAATTCATATAAACAACAATAAGAACAACGAGAATTAATCAATTTCGATAGTTTCATTTGCATAAGTAGTAGTAGTAGTAGTAGAAGTGGGAGTAGGAGTAGGAGTCGGTGGTATACTAGTAGGCAAGTTCCCCGGTGCGATCTGTTGTATCCTTGAAATTGAATTCGATAAAGATGAGAATTTTACCACATTCGGATGATGATGATGAGGAGGAGGAGGAGCAGGATTCCTACTACTGACGGGTGTAGCATGTGTGAAACGCTGCGGTGAATGCATATCTCCATGGGTTACTACTCCTATTGATGGCTGGTATGGATTGTACGATGTCCCGTTAGTGAATTGTTGACTAGTTGTTCTACTTGTTATTAATGTTGTCGTGTTAGGATAACGATGGACAATATGTGCACTAGCCACATGATGACGTGTTGTTGTTTCAACTCCATGCGGACCAAATCGTGTAGCAACAGTTACAATTTGACTAGATTGTCTTGTTTCTTGGGCAATTGGTGTTGGAAAAGTAAATCTATTACTATTATTATTAATATTTGACATAAAGGGTGGAGTATGCAAAGGGAAGGTGCACTGTGACCTAGGTAGTTTTTTTGGAGGTTCTGGAACTGAATAAGATGTTGGCGAAGAAGGAGAAGGAGAAGAAGAAGAAGAAGAAGTATCATCATCAACTAGATTAATTGTTGTTGGAGAATCAACTTTCGATGAGTCGTCGACAACAGAATTTCTCTTAGGCATGGAATGAATTTGATGATCATGTGTAGGCGATAATTGGGATTCGCTGGTTGTGGAAATTTTTGTATCACAGACTGGAACTGAAGAAGAAGTAGAAGCAGAAGAAGAAGCATTAACCACTGCAGAAGAATTAAGGGATTTTCTAACATCATCATCATCTTTATCATCTTTCTCCTCCTCCTCCTCAGAATCTGAACTCAAAGTAAGCACTTCATCAGAAGTATCTGAAGAATTCTCAGCTTTTGAAGGATCTTTTGAATCATTAGTTGCTTTTTCTAAGGGACAAGTTTCCTGTTGGGAGGTTGATGCAACAGAACTAGGATCAGTTGTGTTAATCTGTTGGTCAACAGTATGCATAGTTCGACTTTTTTCATCAGAATCCTGGAGTGTTGGTTGAGCAGACTGGACAGTGTATTGGAGATCAATGAAGTGTTTGAATACCTACAAGTTAGTAAAAAGGACAAAAAAAAAGAAAGAGAGAGTGAGAACTGTATCTGACTGACTGGTTGCCACACTCCCTCCTTGTAGCACACAAACCAACAGAAGAGAGTGAATGCATGCATATGCGCCAGCAGCCATTGAGAACGACGATTTTTAACCATATTACCATATTATGTGTCTAGCCTTCATTGGCTCTTACCATCCCAAGGATCACAAGCAGTCAGGCAGTCTACACCTTCTTGCTTGGCTACCTGGCTCAAACTAACTATTATGCATTTCATTGACTGATGAAGTCATGTCCTCGTTTAACCTCCACTAACTAGCTCTTTTCCAACAACCTGATCCATCTTATGTTAGTTAGCTAACACTGCCCATCGTCGAGGAAGTCGATGGCTAGACATGCATGCACTACAGATGTCCTAACCATCTCAATCAATCGATGTAACTTCACAACGTCGTCAATTGATTTCTTTTCCTTACCTGACATTCGACCGAACCCTAACCTCATCTCAATATTGATCACCCTATTACACCTACCCACTCAACACGAAAGATGGAATGATCCAACATCCATGATCAAAGACAGCTCTTGCCAGCCATTTCATTTCTTCCACTGTCAGCTGGTGATCAATCAATCCTAGAATAAACAATTTATCAATACAGTTTATGTGTTACTGATGTTAAATATTATTAGGAATTAAGCCTGTGCTGACTGATGGTCATGTCAAGTTGAGTAACTCACCTTGTTTAAATTGTTATCACCAAGGCGTTTATTTTCATTTAGCCTTCTGCGTAAATCTCGATCTGAATACGTTGGATCATCGTCTTCACTTGTATGCAGGAAGGATGGCAAGTTATTTATTTTTTAAGAAATGAAAACAAGAAAACAAAAAGTCTGGCTTAGAATGTGAATAGATTGTAAAAAAATTGCAGTAATTTTTATACGGAAGAGAAGAAATAAACATAATAAAGGAAGAGTGCCGACCCAGGGGTATAGGACAAGAAGAAGAAACCAGCAAAGACAGAAGGATATTAGGAATAATGCGAAAGAGAATTGTTATCGGTTATAAGACAAGTATCCCCAACAACAAACAAAGGGAGGGGCGAGACAGCAAACTGTTCTGAATCCAGCAGAACAAGATGGATTCAGAAAAGGCTAACCATGTACTGGTCGATTTGCAGCTCCACACATCATTATCATCATCATTACCATCGAATAATGCATAGAATGTCAGTCAAACCTCTACCTAAACTTCATCGACTTCGAAAAGTCAACAGGAACGAAAGCGTTGACCAAAAAGTCATTTGGAAATTACTCCAACACTACGGCGTGCCTTAAGTCTTTATCAACCCCATTCAACAGCTGGTTGGCTGTTTGACAATGCTACGTGCTACGGAAAACTCGGCGAGGCATTTGAAGTGAATGAACACAGGAGTAAGAAAAGACTGTCTATTATCATCCAAGATGATATTTCTATTTGTGGTGGACTGGATTATGCAGCAGGCCGTGCATAGGGAGTAAAAAGACAGAAATACGCTTCACTGACCGATAAGAAGACTCCAGAAGATCTGAACTTCGCGCGTGAATGATTTATGTTGAATGTCACACACACACACACACTCAAAGACGTACAGGTGAGACCAACAAACTGGCTGATGAGACACGCAGCGAAGACAGGACTCTAGGTAAGCATAGAAAAGACGAAGGTGATGAAGATGACCAACCAGCCGCGACAACAAAAACTAGCACCAATCACCATCTACGGGATAAATTTGAAAGAGGTTACCTCCGTCTTTTTCCAGGATAAGAAGCATTGTTTCAACCACAGGCGGCACACAGCATGGGTGAAGATATCAACACCAGCCAGTCTGAATTGGAAATGCGACATACGCCTTTATCAACGTGAAATCAGTTTGGAAATCTTCTATTTCACTCAGCTTCAACATAAACAATACGATTCAGGTTTCTTACACAAATATCACGTCAATCAGTCACTTATTCTACATGAGTGAGGAAACTGGCCAGCGTGTCACGAAAAGCATTTGTAACAGGCTGGTGCAGACGTTTATCAACAGCTGCTCAATTCACTGGCTCCATATGGAAGGTCGAACGGCCTGTCGGACAGAAACAATTAGAGACAATAAGCTATGAGGACTACGTAACCCAGATCGTATAGCTCAACAAATGTGTTTATGAGAAAATGGAGATGTTGAAATAAGAACAAATTAGTTCAGCGAGGAGTCTCTTTTCGGCGAAATTTGATAATATCTCTGGCGACTAGAATCCGAAAAATCTGTAGTCCTGAATCAATAGAGGAAGAGATCGCCCTCTTAAGGAAGACACTGCTCGAGAATGCCTACCCACCCCGTTTTATAGACAAGCACATTAAGCCTAAGACTCACAAAGAACAACCCATTACAGTGCCGAAGAAGATGGTCTACATGAATGTACCCTTCAAAGGTGACCTTCTGGCTGACACCTTGAAGAAGAGGATATCTACTGCTCTCAGAAGGACATTCTTCGCTGCCACACTACGACTGACATTTTCCTCCAGCCATTGTTCTTCAACTACTCTAAAGATAAACTATCGCATTTGACCACTTCCATGTGTATCTACCAATTCACCTGCTCCTGCGGAGCGAGGTATATAGGTCGTTCGATGCGTTTTTAATCTAAAAGAGTTCAAGAACACTATCCCGCCTGGCTCCGGAAAGGTAACAACGGAGCAATAAGGAGCGCCATTATTGAGCATATACTCAACACTGGTCATTCGATTTGCAAGGAGAAGTCGTTCAAAGTCATCTATAAAGTCAAAAGAAGCCTTCCAAAATCGACAAGCTTCCGTATATTTTGTATTGCTAAAGCGATTTGGATGGAAAAGCCTGAGTTATGCACACAGAAGAAACTTCTCCACCCCCTCCTACCGTGGGTTTAATTTCAAGTTTATTTGTCATCAACATTTTGTTATCAAATTTTTTGCAATTTTTCGTATAACAATTTTTAGTAACTAATCCATTCAATCTTTTCACCTATTATCTAGTTTATTTTCATAATTGTCTCCAAACTCCGTCACTAGCATCTAATCTTTCTAAACATGTCCATATTACGTAACCTTACTCACATCTTACCAATCTTCACCCCACTTAGTTACAACTTTGATTATTAATCACACATTTTAACTTCTTCATTATTTTGATGATATAATCAACAACCCACACTAACTGTTATTTTGATTTTGACAAACCTAATGTACACACACACACACACAAAATAATTGTACATATATTTGCGACTGTACAGCTAAGTGAATGAATTCGCCGAAAAGAGACTCTTCGCTGAACTAATTTGTTCTTATTTCAATGTCTTAATGGGTATATTTCGGGAATTAAAAAATGGAGATGGATTGGGTACATGCCACTGAGGAGACCGTCAGATGACATCGCATTCAATGCAGGCTATCACTCAAGTGGAACCGGAATGGGAAGCAATGAGTTCGTCGTCGGTGTTAGGGTGGCATAGAGGAGATCGTGTGGCGAGGGGATGAGAGTAACCGTAGGGTTAATCAGCTAAAGAGGACAGCAGGAATTAGAACAAAGCAGAGGTGCACTTTTGAAGCTCTATGTTCCACTTGAAACCCAAAAGAATAATAATAATAATAGTCCATCAATTGTTAAAATGATAAGTTCTCACATAAAGATAAACTTAAAGAATAGCTATGCTGAAATAAGGATAGGCACGTTTGTATGTTTCGAGAACTGTAACGTATTTTCCAAGATTTAATAGCTGAATGTGTTAGACCGGTAATAATATCTAGGGAATGGTTTTGTGACTATTATGTAAGAACTTCTATAGCCCTTTAGAAAAAAGAAGTCAGGGAATTACTAGAGATCATGACTAGTTAAATAGTGCTGGGCTCAACTAGTGAATATAACTAGTATCCCCCTCAGAGTCTTTAACTCATGTTTACTTTTGCCGTCAGAACAATTTTTTGGTGCTCTATTGAACAGTGTTCTAAGTTCGTTTTTTTCTATACTGGATTGGAACAAAACTTACTATCCTGTCCATGAAGACTTTTTACATATAGATATTTCAATTGTATCATAAGTCTTTTTCATGTAGAGAAACATCCTAGTAGTTTAAGAGTATTATTTTCTTCGTGTTCTATTGTGAATTTGAGATTTACATGGTATGATTTTTAAATCTTATCAGCAGGAGATCTTCAGCTTTTGATTTGATTTCACAGACAATAAAAATGTTATTAACATATCTAAGGTTTAAATCCCAGAGTTGTTGTATATATGCCGGGCTTTTAGGCCTGACAAAAATAAATCTGTGCAAAAGGAAAATGCTTGAAATTGAGGCGGCTTGTACAATCGGAGTTTATAAACCGGGTGTCTTTGTGTACAAAAAGGGAAATGGTAGTCTCTCTGAATCTACCTACCATGGTAATTCTTGATACAATTAAGTTTTTTCTCTGATGACTAAGTGTTTATAAAACACAAAATAATTGAGCAAAGAATAACCTTTTCGATAATTTCCTCTTCTGGCTCTACAATTATATACGCATAAGTTTATATACATTGAATATTCTAGAATAGTAGTCAATAACAATGTTAGTGTTCTTTAAATAATATCGATTTGTTAAGTATGATCTCGATGGAATTACAGTTCATTAAGGATGCATAAATAATAATAATAAAGATAAAGTAGCGAATAGAATATCAACTAAAATTAGGAAAATTCCACAAAAATTCAGGATCATTCAAACCTAGATGGCTGAGGTAAGGACAATGTCCGAAATAGCTACTTTTGGACGCACAAATTAGGTCCCTTAATGTGGATCCCAATAGCCTCAGCAATATTTAGTAATCGAACTCTTAAGGCGAAATTAAGATTTGTTGGTATGCGTGGTAAATGACTTTGAAAGCTGCCTCGTTGACATCACTCCTGTGTTCTGTATCCACAAGATGAGATAGAATAGCGCTACGAATAAATTTTGTTTGTCCTTTACTTAACCACACACACACACACATGAGAAACACACCTAATCATACGGCCTATGTAACTGGCTCCACAGGAGCAGTTAAATTGGACTAAGTGTTTATCCAAGTTATCACGAGTTGATCACGGACTGATATCAGTTAGAGAACCATTGAAAACCAGGGAGTACTGGACAGATGCTGTTTCATCCTAGTTTGGGAATCATCAGCCGTAGGCACACACTGGGATTCGAACCCAGGACCTTCTGGTTCCAAGACAAGCTCGTATACCATTCAGCCACTGGGACCCGATTCAATGGCTAGTCCATGAATTCTAACTGAGTGATGTAATTCAAGCGTAATGGATTTTATCTTGATTTTAATCTATTAAACTCCCTCTCCCCTCATCTATTTGAACATCATTTGAAAAATATTCACACGTTTTGTTTTGCATGATTAATTCAATGTAATTTATTTTCTTATCAACCTTCTATCTCCCAATATATATATATATATATATATATATATATCCGTGTATATGGTAAATTCAACTGAAGAGAAGTTCTACCGAAATTAGATGGACTCATTAAATCCTACTTTATTAACGTTTGTTGCTTGTTAAGCATTCGTACCTCATTTCCCCAAGCCACATATAATGCGTAAGGACTGTCTGAAAGCAAATCCACTGCAATGGTTACATCATAGTTTCAACTTTGATTACTTAGACTTGGATAGAGACAATGTCATATAATACGTTCAACTGGTAAGTCGGTGATTCAATGGTGAAACACGCGCCGACGACACACATACACACACACACATAATCCGAGTTTCGATTCCCGACCGATGCACTCTGAAACCTCACCTAGCCAATAGTAATGTGGTGAGAGCATATATATGGTCTGACCTTCAAATAAGTGGCCACAAGTAGAAGACAGACTAACTTTCAGGGAAAGAGAACAACCAATCAGAAGACACTGTTTCTCTGCTAGCAATAACGAATAATAATGTGCATGAAAATATATACATAAATATCTCTTGATTTTCCCAATAAACGATATGTTGTCTGGCCTTTGTCTTAACAGTAAGATCGGTAAAGAGGGAAGTGCGACTAGCTACCACACCCCGTATAAGAAGACAACTTCGCTATTGGAACTTCACTACTCAAGCTTGAAGTCCTACGTTCCACTGGGAACAAAGAGGAATATTTTAAAGAAAGAGAAACGTGTTCAACTGGATCATGGACAATGAAAGTACTGTTGAAACTGTTGTTAAATTGCAGTGAGTTTTACTTAAAATCAGATATAAGTAGTATACCAGTAAACACATTCAGAAAAGTAACATTATGTTTCGGCCACCGGAAAAAGCGATCGAAGAACATTATACAAACACTGTTCAGGATCCAACAAGCTATCAAATGTGGTGACGTTCAACCAATTTTTGTAAATGATGTGCAAATAAAGACTTAAGGATCAGGGGTACCAAATCTAAGAACCTACAAAGCGTTTGTCCTAATTAAAAACAATCACCTTCGAGCGTCATCGATCTTTTATTCTCTTTACAAAATGAATTTCTGAGTATGATAAAAAAATTTTAAAAAACATACCATAAATCATCAGTTAAATGACAACCGAAATCATGCCTCAAGTCATCTTGACGTCGTTGTTTTAATAAATGTCCAACATCGAGAAAAATTTCACGAGCCATAGATTTTACAGTTGATCCGCTAAAAATGCAAAGTTGGAAGAGATCAAGAAATATGATGACAATAATTATAAAACTCTTCTCTCCATAGTATGAGAGACAAAATTTCTTTTTAATATACTACAGTCCATGAGTTGTTCAACTAGTATGTTCTATATGAAAGGAAAGGCATTCAGTGAAGAGTTACTCCACTTTTCGGTGATATCATTCTCAAGCTGTACAATCGCCTATATATATATATGTATATATATATATATATATATATATATGCGACTGTACACCTCTAATCGCATTTAACCAATTCAACTGGAATTGTGGTGGAGCGAGTTATGTTGGTCATTGCTCTAGGAAATTGATTTTTCGTGCTCACTCGGGAATATCTACCACTGTGGCTAAATATGTAAAGGTGTAATAAAAACCATCAACAGTTCGATATTAATGAAAACAAAACACGTAGATCAGCGAAGAGTCTCTTTTCGGCGAATTCATTTTCTTAGCTGTACAATCGCAAATATATATGTGTTATTTTGTATGCATGTGTACAATAAGTTTATCAAACAAAAATAAAATTGGTTATAATTATTCAAACTAAACAGGTGAAGACTGGCAATTGGAGTTACGTAATACAAAATCAGTCAAGAAAATTAGGTGCTATTGAAATTAGGGTAATAACAAAGGTGATGAGTTGTCACAAACAGTTTTGTCAATTATTGATTGTTTTGTAGGGATTTAGTTTGATTGGTCGGAGGATTTTATCATGAGCTGACATCAGCGATTGGCTCTATTCAAACAGCGACCTGAGGTTTTAGTGCGAAGCCGTGACCAGTAGAGTGTAGCAGGTTGAAGGTGAGGCAGCAACTCATTGAAGAAAACACTGCGAAATGGTCACACTACGTCTTGAATTCGCAGAAGTTAGTATTCATAGGTCGGCTATTGGATCCCAGTGCCTTAGTGGTCTACAAACCCGCTGGCCTTGTAACCGGGACGTCCTGGGTTCGAATCCTGGCGGTGTATACGCACTGATGAAGAGTCGCAAACTAAGCTGACGAAACAGCTGCTGTCCAGTACTCCCTGCAGGTTTTCCAACAGTTCTCTAACTGATGTCAGCTCATGATGAAATCCTTCAACCATTTATTTCACTGATTTGCTCTAATTGTGATATTAATTTCATAATAAAAAGTATTTTCTGAAAGACAAATAGTACACACACCACTGTATAGTAAAAAAATGGTATTTTACTCACGTCAAATTTAAATTCTCCTCCTTGTTTACAGAAGCAACTATCCGATAAATATCAGTGCAATCAGGAAATAATTTTTTCTTATTAATTAGATCTTCAATCTTTTCATTCACTTTTGAATACTGACAACCTTGTTATGTATAGAAAGAGATAAAAGAAATGCGAGAAGGTATGTTTAATGTACGTAAAATGAAAATAAAAGGGATGGGGAGGGGTAAGGTATACACTTCCCGCCGTCTGACTCATTCCACTGTACAACACAGTACAGTATGCTCGTTAACGCAGTGAAAAGGAGATAAATATCGTGCTCAGCATGTCAACTCCAACTGCACTTAAAAAATCAACTGCATTTGGGGTGGCAAGTACATATGAAGAAGTGAGAGGAGACAGTGTCTACTAGATTCTCCGAGCCTATTGCTGAAAGTCTCCGTTTGAAAGGCAGCAGAGTGTTCTCAAGTGCAATCGCCAGATAACACCTTACTGACAAAGCCTGCAGGCTTTTCAAATAATCAGTACACAAAGAAAAGCATGCTTACTTCGATTCGCGAAAGCCACTACCAACAAAGGACTACAACCCATCCGCTGTATACAGAAAGAAACACAGCGTGACTAATCTGTAACTACCGTACTACATGGTAACTGCAACTGTCGTGTTTGTGTGCTTTTGTGCTTTGCTCTCACGCACAACATTCCACTCAATATTGATTTTGATTTTCACTCACTGAGTTCAACTCACTAATAAGTTTCCAAGAAAATCTACTAAACTAAATTATTTTATCTATTTTATAATTATACTTCACTTTTTACCCCACCAATATTACAACTGCCACCCTCCTGAATTCTTCACCATAATACGTGTGAATTCACTTTGTTATTCTGTCTTGTTGGATTCTGTCTCTAGTCCATTCTTGTTTCCAAAAGAAATCTGAATTCCACCGTCTTGTCTAATTACTCTATAAATAGTTACTCTTTTAACACTAAACAGCAGATGTCTGCTCACAACATCTCTGAAATTATGTTACTTATATTTTCTATCTATAACTTGAAGTCATCATTGTAATAAGTATGTTCAGATAGAATTTTGTAAACATATAACTGATTCTGTTGAGGATGTACACAGTTGAAGAGAATCCACGAAGTAAACACGAGCTCGTATTATCCCGTAAATACGTTCGTTCCTTCTTTATTCAATACACATTTATGTGGCCATCTTCTTTGCCACTATCACTAACCAATATTGATAAGAGTATTTGAATAGACACCGAAGTCAAATGATCTTCAACCAACACTAATCAGACCATCGTTTCAACATTCCAACAAAATGGATGCTGTTCACATAATCTTCGTTGCAAGTTTCATGCAGATTTGATTTTTGACTTCTATGTGTGTGGAGAATGAGTTGGTCGATAGGGTGGACTAAAACATGCATATGTGGAGGCATAATTACTAAATATAAAAGTATTGCCAAGCTAATGTTGATGGTTATGCATTCAGATGCAACCACTGTTAGATGATGAGGAAGTCTATAAGAGTTGTGTAAGTGAGTGTGTAAGCTGCTACCTTGATGTGGTGGTCGGGATTGAACACCGCAATGACCCAACAAGCTATACTGGCTGAGTCTTATGTCACTGGAGGTCCTACCATGCTAGGAAGGCTGTTTGGATAGCGGTTAGACAAAAAGCAGTTACCCAATCCAATGCTATGACTCAAACAAATTCACAAAATATCATGCCGGATCGGTCGTGGCCCGGATTAACAACAAACGCGCTTCCTGCTGCCATGTCACAGGCCAGAAGTGATAAATATGCTACTGAGACACACCAAACAAGAAAGAACAAACAAAAACAGGCCGCGTGTGACCGGCCTCAAGCAGTTGTCCCCTGGGCTCTGCGGTCATGCAACCAACTTCCACTTGTGGGCAGCCGGGAAGTAACAATCGCCCTCACAATCCGAAATGCACTGTAAGAGTTGTTGGTAAGTTGTACAACATTATGGTGATTTTTTGAGATACTTTCTTCTCGAAATTGTAGCTCTCGCTTAGTGAAATATTACATCTACGCCACAATTGGCTACTGAAACGACCAGTATATGTGCTACAGCTTCAGAAACAGAGAATATACTAAAATGTCAACAGTGCAGTGGGTGGTATCAGCACTGTCGAGATATTGCCTCACAAAAGATCAATGGAATTCAAGTATTGGTTTGTAGGGATTTAGTTGATTGGTTACAGGATTTCATCATGAGCTGACATTGGTTAGAGAACCATTGGAAAACCTGGGAGTACTGGACAGCTGTTTCGTCAGCCTAGTTTGGGACTCTCCATCAGTGCGCACCAACCGGGGTTCGAACCCAGGACCTTCTGGTTACAAGGCGAGCTAGTATACCAAATCCCTACAAACCAATACTTGAATATCAATGAGATGCTCACTGGCGACTGGCCCTATTCAGGTAGGTAGTTAGTTACCTGGGGTTCCAGTGGGAAGTCGTGACCAGTAGGGTACAGCAGGTCGGGTGTGAGGACAAATACTCGCCGACGACATTGGTTAGCGGTCGCGCTATATCGTGAATTGGCGGAAGTTAGAATTCATAGGCCATTGGACTGGGTCCCAGTGGCTTAATGGTATACGAGCTCGCCTTGTAACCAGAAGGTCCTGAGTTCGAACCCCGGTGGGTGCGTACGATGAAGAGTCCCAAACTGGGACGAAACAGCTGTCCAGTACTCCCAGGTTTTCCAATGGTTCTCTAACTAATGTCAGCTCATGATGAAATCCTGTAATCAATGGAATAACTTCAGTACTTGGAGGAATTGGTGTCGTCGTTCATACTGACGAAACAGTACTAATTAAACGCAAAATGAATCACCGCGGTAGGAGAAGAGCAAACCATGTTTGAGTGCTGGGACTCCATGTAGGACACAAATCTTCGTAAAAAGGGTTAGTTGAACGCATCTCCTCAAACAGAAGTGACGATGTTTCAATATGAATAATACAGGGACTAGTCTTCAGAGACCACTACCACTACCATTCACACAGACGACGAGTGGAGTGATTATTCGCAACTGTCATCACTAGGATACATTCATCATATAGTCAATCATTATTCTGAACCCCAGTGGATCCTATAAGTGGAACCCATACAAATTCTATTGCAGGGTTATCGGCTCATCTGAAAAAAAGTATTAGAATGGTAGACGGCTGCCCATATGATTTGCCAAGGTATACAGACATTCAGATGGATTTTTGTATCGACATTGGTTTGATATGTCTGTACCCGCAACAGTTAGTCTAAGCCAAGTAGGAAGGTGTAGACTGGCTTCCTAGTTGGGGTCCTCGGGACAGTAAAAACCAATGGTTGGAAACAATTGGTGACATGGCTCAAAATCGTTCTCAATGGCTGGCGCAGATGCATCCACTTCTTGTGACTTATGATTTCCAATTAAACTGTTTTGTTCTTCGTTATTACTATTCCTTTGTCTCACACCTCTGTTTACTGTCTGTATTATTATGCATTTCTTCTACTTTCTTCTCTTGCTTTGTGTGCTACATAAAGGGAGTGTGGCGACTTGAACTGCCGCACATCGGTGCAAAGTTCTATGTCGAAAACAGACAGACAGACAGTACTCACTCCTATGAGGAACTGGGACCGGTTTTGAAATAGTAGAGATATATGCCCTGTATGATTCATTTTTACTGCATACATATATCTTACAAATATACTTTTTATCCAATTAATGCCATTTTTTTACCTATCAGAATCTGATTGGTTGGTTCAAGGTCATCCGGCTTTAGTGTTTATTCTTTACTGATGCAACGATTATAAGAGGGAGAGAGAGAGAGAGAGGGAGACAGAACTTCAAATCATTGGTGAAACACCTCAAGATGTTCAATGTTCGATGGCTATTTTCCGTAATGTACAGAATTTTCAATCTTTCTAAACTTCTTGAGAAATTTATCTGTATGGGTTGTTCATCAATAGTCGCTGCGTATCAGCGCATTCCCTCTAGTTTTAAACTTGTCCTGATTTTGTTAATATTCCTGTATTCACACATATTGAATGTAATCGTCAAAACAGTGGAGTCATACAGACGTGTTTGTTTTGTTTCTAATCAAAAAATATACAGGTTCATATATAATGACCAAATTCATTATTCTGTGGTGAGAGCTGGCTGCTAGCCAAAGTTGGTAGACAGTAATTGACGTCAATGCTTATGTCCCCAATATTGGTGATGAGGAAAAATGAGAACAAAGGCTTTGCGTAGGCGGATACAGTTAGCATATGGATGATCTGTTGCCCAGTCCTTGTCTTCTGTCGTTACATTTGGTGTCGCTGCCTACCGACAAATAGAAAGCCTACGCCCTGCAGTTTTTGATGGAAACATATGGATCTTCGGGCAGAACTTCGAGGCTTCTTCGCAGTTGAGTGGCGTTCAAGATCTGTCAGCGATGAGGCTGCTACTTGGAACGCTGCTGGGAGGTCGGGAGAAAGCAGCATATGAAAATATGAGGCGAAATACCTACGAATGTGCGACAGGGTCAGGCAAACAATTTCCAAAGTGGGAAGGACCATATTGAGATGGGGTTACGCAGACACAACCGCAATGGTAAACACAGAGAAACAGGTGAACATCCGCAAGCGCCGAGATTCCAAACAGCAAGACAAAAGAGCAAAGCCCCAAGAAGACCGAACCAACTTCAGTTGCAAGTCTTTGACGGGGGGACGAGTGTTGTGAGAGCTGGCTGCTAGCCAAAGTTGGTAGACAGTAATTGACGTCAATGTTTATGTCCCCAATATTGGTGGTGAGAAAAAATTAGAACAAAGGCTTTGCGTAGGCGGATACAGCTAACATATGGATGATCTGACACAGCCACAAAGAGATGCAGAATAACTTTCTATGAGAAACAACCAATCAAAAGACTGTATTCTCTGCTAACAATAATCTACAATATTGTAGATTAAAATTTATATGTGTTGATTTTCCTTAATAAACGATCTGTTGCCTAGTCCTTGTCTTCTGTTGTTACAATTCTACTTCCACTGGTTGTTTGCATTTAGCTGACCTTGTGTCTAATTGTACCTGTATGCTTCAATATCGCCGCAATTTCATGAAACAATATGCAAATCATTTATCAGTGATATTAAGTACTCTCCATCAATTATCTAGGAAGTGTAGTATCACCACCATGTTAACACTGACTGATTGGCTGGTTTCAACATAGAACTTTGCACCGATGCGTAGCAGTTCAAGTTGCCACACTTCACTCAGCACACAAAGCCAGAGAAAAAGAAGAAGTAGAAAGTAAAAAGAAACGCAAAATAGAGAAAGCAAAGAGATATATGAGGCACAAAAAGAATAGTAGTATCGAAGAACCATATAGCTTTATTGGATAAGTCACAAGGAGTGGATGCATCTGCGCCAGCCATTGAGAACGAGGATTTTGAGTCATATCACTAATTGTCTCCAGCCATTGGTTTTTATCGTCACAAGGGCCCCAACCATGAAGTTCACACCCCCCTACGTAACTGGCTTAAACTAACTGTTGTGGATTTCATTCACTGATGAGAACACCACTAACAGCTCTTTTCCAACCTGACCCTATGTCAGCTAACATTGCCCGTCGAAGAAGGCGATCGATTGCTAGGCATGCATGCGTAAAGAAAGACCTGACCATCTCAATCGGTGTAACTTCACAGCCTCGTCTATTAATTTCCCTTCCCTCCTTACACCTAGCACTCAACCGATGCCTAACCTCAATATTGCTCACCCTATTTCACTGACCACTTAACACGGGAGATAGAACACAGGCACCTATGGTCAAAGACAACTAGCCAGCCTGCCTTTTAATGTTTTCCACTCTCAATGGCCATGTCTCAAAGCCAGCCATAAAGGAGGAAGCAGAGGACTGCTGAGCAGTGAAGACGTCCTTTGATCGATATCCATCCGGATATCATGTCTACGCCAGAGACGGCGTAAACTGGCATATGCGAAACCATGTTAACACAGAAAATCATTCATAAGTAAAGTAAAAAGAGATCGATAAACAGAATACTATAATAAGTTATATCGATGTAGCGACTGAACGAACAAAGTGTAAAGAGAACTCCAAGAAGAAAGCGAAAAGAGAGATTAGGATATTGTACAAATGCAAAGGTATATTTTGACTAAAAGTAATACATATAGGTAGACTTTGGAACAACACATTTAAGCGAACAGTGATATTGTGCTTTCAACTAGATCTTATCAGACTTAACTCGAATGCACAGACAAAAGTCGTCTGTAGCTTTGCTTTAACATATTTAGTTAAGTTGATAGCGGTCATCTAGTGGAGAAGATGAAAAAGCCTTCAAGGCGTAATTATTCATTATCGAATCCCACCGAGTCTTTCAAATAGACTTCGTATTCGTCTACTGTCAGACATTGGGAAACGATAAAACAGGGATATTCTGGACCGACGTGAAGAATCGAGAAGACCTGGATTTAGCGCGTGGATGATTTATGTTTCATGTCACACAAAATCGAAGACTTACAAGCAAAAACTGAAAAACTGGTCGAAGAAGCAGCAAAGACAGGATTCCAGGTGAACATAGACAAGACGGAGATTACGAAAATAACCAACCAACCAACAACAGCAGAAACATCCAGCTCCAATCACTATCAACGGGAGGGATTTGAAAGAGGTTACTTCATTCACTTATCTAGGGAGAATTGTCTCAACTACACGAGGAACGGACGAGGATGTCAAATCGAGCGAGAATCGGGAAGGCGAGAAACACATTCATCAACCTGAAACCAATCTGGAAATCTTCCGCTGTCACTCAGCCTGCATCAACAACAGAATTCGGATTTTCAATACAAACGTCAAGTCAGTTTTGCTATACGGATCAGAAACGTGACGGCGGGTCACAAAGAATATTTCAAACAGCCTGTTGCAGACCTTTATCAACAGCTGTCTTCGTTCTATACTCAAGGTCAGATGGCTGGAAAGAATCACGAACAAGAAACTAAGGGAACAAACGAAACAAGAATCAACCACACAACAAATATGCAGGAGAAAGTGGAGATGGATTGGACACTCGATGAGGAGGCCGCTGCGGGGTGACATCACGCGTCAGGCCATAGCTCGAGTGGAACCCGAAAGGAAAGCGGCGATCGGGCGCCTAAGGGTGACATCGAGGGGATCATGTGAAGAAGAGTTGAAACAGTATGGACTAACATGGATGCAAGTGAAAAGTACAGCAGAAGACAGAAACAAGTGGAGGCGTGCAGTTGAAGCCCTATGTTCCACTAGGAACCCAAGGGAACAATAATAATAATAATAATTCGTTTACTGAGGCGATAGGCATTCAAACTATTAAGCTTAAATTATGCATTCAAAAGACAGGCATTATCCCTCGCCCTTGGCTTATTAAAGTCTAACCTACTGATGGCATCTCCACTGACCCTTAATTATATTTCCACCCCCCCCCTATCTTATCATCCCTTTATCTTATCATATCTTTATTAAAACATAATTGATTTACTTCCCCCCTTACAATCAATCTAGCATTGCTTAATCGGTGTATTTGTTTCTCTCAGCCTTTATCGACTACCTGAACACACTTGTTTGTTTAATCATGCCGTGTTTTCTTTATTCTTGTTATCACACATCGCCCCACTTTTCATCTTGGTTATTGATTGGATCATCATTATTATAATAATATTAATAATAATAATTATTATTATTATGACTATTTGCACAATTTATATACACAATATTATTATCCTATTGACAAAACATCGTGATTGGTTTACATAAGATATATATATGTAAAGTTATGTAGGCATACTAAAATTAATGATATTACACGGTTGGAGACCATCGGCCAAAGGAAGCCTTGCTTGACCCAGGTTTCATGCTAGTTGGCACTCACCAGTCAGCAAGGCACGAGAAAACCAGGCAGGTTTTAGGCCAGGAAGAGGGTGTATTGATCATATCTTCACCCTTCGACAGATTCTAGAACATAGGCATTCCTACCGGCGTCCGACAATCACTATATTTCTTGACCTAAAGGCGGCAATCGATTCTGTCGACCGAGAGGTTCTCTGGCGATGCTTGGCTGTTAAGGGAATGCCGAGAAAATACATTGCACTGGCTGAGCGAAATGCAGAGACTTCTGAACACCTTGAGCAGCAATCTTCGTATGTTTGGCATGCGATTCTCCCCTGTAAAATGTAAGATGATGCTGCAGGATTGGACTTCACCGACCCCTAGATTAGAAATAGGAAGTAAAGTGGTAGAGCACGTTGACCGCTTCACTCATTCGGGAAGTACCATCAGCCCCAACGGGTTGATCTCCGACGAAATCTCATCAAGAATACAGAGGGCTAGGTTCGCATATGCCAGTTTACGTCGTCTCTGGCTTAGTAGACGTGATATCCAACTATCGACCAAAGGGCGTGTGTACTGCTCATAAGTCCGCTCCTCCTTTATGGCTGTGAGACCTGGCCATTGAGAGCGGAAGACATGAAAAGATTAGCTGTCTTTGATCATAGGTGTCTGCGTTCTATCTCCCGCGTGAAGTGGTATAAATAGTGAGCAATATTGAGGTTAGGCGTCGAGTGCTAGGTAAGTAGGGGAGGGGGGAAATCAATCGATGAGGCTGTGAAATTACATCGACTGAGATGGTTGGGACATGTGCTACGTATGCCTAGTCATCGCCTTCCTCGACAATGGGCAATGTTGGCTGATATAGGGTCAGGCTGGAAAAGAGCTAGCGGTGGTCAAACGAAAACATGGCACCAGTCAATGAAATCTACAACAGTTAGTCTAAGCCAGAGCGACGTAGGAAGGTGTAGACTGGCTTCCTGGTTGGGGTCCTCGGGACGGTAAAAACCAATGGTTGGAAACAATTGGTGACATGGCTAAAATTCGTTCTCAATGGCTAGTGCAGATGCATCCACTCCTTGTGACTTATGATTTCCAATTAAACTGTTTTGTTCTTCGTTATTACTATATCTTTCTCTCACACCTCTGTTTACTGTCTATATTATGCGTTTCTTCTACTTTCTTCTCTTGCTCTGTGTGCTACATGGAGTGTGGCGACTTGAACTGCCGCACATATGTGCAAAGTTCTATGTCGAAAACCGACCGAAGGCATATCTGCAACCTTGAAAGAACTCATGCCCCTCCTTCTGAGATTCAAACCCGCGTCACCCAGTGCCGTCTGCAGTTAAAGACGTTACAACTGAGATATTCGGGCTCGTGAATGACCACCTGTAAGACTGCAGTGGATACACTATTTTGACACTCGTAACTAGTGTGATGATGTGTCTAGTCCTCCTTTCTTTGCTGCAGACTGAATTCTATCAGTCAGTCAGGTTCGCAATGTGGCTACCATTCTAAGTAGCTCTCCGTCACGATGCGCAATGATTTCATGGTATTAGATGGTCCAAGGCTTCCTGTGGCCGACTGCGTCCAACCATCTAATACCATGAAATCATTGCGTATTGTGACAGAGAGCTACTTAGAATGGTGGCCACATTGCAAACCTGACTAACTGATAGAATTCAGTCTGCACCAAAGAAAGGAGGACTAGACACATCATCACAGTGGTTACTAGTGTGCAATTAAAGTATACACGAGTTGAGCCTGATGAGATCTAATTGAAAGCACAAGATCACTGTTCGCTTAAGCGTATTATTTTTGAACTAGTAGAGACGGTCAAAAAGGATACATGCTTATGAAACTTACCCTTATAAGTGAATCTTTGACGCAATATCCTTCCAGATATCCGAGCCACATTACGTATTTCACAAAGTCGACGCCAAGCTTTTAGATATTGACGTTTTAAAGTATCTAATTTCAGATAGGGGGAATCAGATGAGTCTAATTCATCAAGATTTATTTCTTTTTCTTCTAACTCTCGAATAGCTTGAGAGAGACGCTGAAAAAATCAAACCAAAAAGAAAAGAGAAGAGAAAAAAGACAGAGAGAAATTGACAATATTTACTGTAATTTATTCTAAATCATGTTTAGGCATAAGTGGACTGTGTAAAGATACAGAGACTTGATCAGCGTAAACACTATAATTAGAGTAATGGTTATGCAAGAATTTTACAATATTACTACCTGAACTGAACTATTTTGCTATAACAGAAATATAAGAATAAAACTTGGGCACTGTGGTAGAGTGTAATTCCATTATGGGTAAATTTTTATTTTGATAGAGTCTCACAGCGTTATACAGTAATATTTACTGATGACGTTTCGAGCACAATTTATTGCTCATAATCATATCAAGGTATTCACACGACTTCCTAAATTCATTTATATAGTTCCATTGTTTTTCACTTGATTTGATTGGTAGTATTATTTTCCATATTTTAGGTATGAGTGATGATTCATTCCTATTGCATGTGTTGGGTGTAGATTCGATGAACAAAGATTCAGTAATCAACCTCTCTCTCCACCTACCTAGATTACTTTTTAGAATTTTAACCCTCTCCCACCTATGCTATTGTGTGGTTGTGTGCTAATGAATGTATTGCAATTGCTGAGCTTTTTTCTAAATTACTTATCTTCTTGGGGTCAACCATTCTTACCTTAGCTAAATTCTTATGTTCTGACAATCTGACTACCCCTGACCTACTAGTTTGACCTATGTAGTTGACCTCACAGTCATTGCAGGGTATTTTGTAAATTATATTATTTTGTCTAATTGGGTCAACTGGGTCCTTTAACCTACAGAGCTTGTCCCTGAGTGAGTTTGTAGGTTTAAATGCCACCCTAATTCCTGCTTTATTTAGAATCCTACGTAGGGTCTCAGATGTACCCTCTTTATATGGTATAACTGTAGATGACTTATATTCTCTCTTATTTATTTTATTACTACTAGTTTCACAATTCTTCTTATTTTTCTTTTGGCGTTTTTCAATCTTCCTAATGAATTTTAGAGGATAGTTATTTAAAAACAGAAATATTTTGTTCAATGCATAATTCTTACGATATGAGCTTTCCTTTGTTTGAATATATGGGAACAAATTTATTAACGTAGTGCGATTATTATTATTATTGTTTCGTTAAGTTCCTGGAGGAACATAAGGCTTCAGCCATACGTCTCCATTGCGTTCGGTTCTCCGTCAACCTTTTCACCTGGCTACACGTCTGCCCACATGCTTTTATCTCCTCTTAGAATCACCGCCTCCTTCCTCCATGTCACCCTCACACTGATGACTAACTCGATTTCTTCCTGCATATTTCTTGCACAATCGGTTCCTGTTGGGTTGGTTCGCTCATTGCCAGAGAACCCTCACCACTACTGATCTTTTCTGGCCTGCCATCTGATCTTCAGCAGTATTGAGCGAAGACAGCTGTTGATGAAGGTCTGTAGTTTGTTCGAAGTGTCCTTCGTGACGCGGCACCAAGTCTCTGATCCATAAAGTAGCAGTAACTTCACATTGGAGTTGAAAATCCGAATCTCATTTTTCATGCTGAACAGTGCTGTTGATCTCCACACAGACTTGAGTGATGAAAGCCTGTCTTGCATTCCCAATCCTCACTTTGATATCCTCGTCAGTTCCGTCCGCCTGTAGCTGAAACGGTGCTTCCTAGGTGGGTAGGTAGGTGAAGGAGGTTGCTTCTCTCAAACTTCTCCCAATTATGCTAGCTGATTATTGTCTGTTGTTGTTGCTGTTGGCCAGGGATCTTCGTCACCTACCTCTGTTTTCTCTATGTTCCCCCGAATTGAAGTCCTATCTTTTCTGGATGCTTCTTCTGCCAACTTGTCGCTTTCCACTTGCATATCTTCCAGTTTTTCGGGAAATGACACATATATATGAAATCAGCGAAGTCCAGATCCTCCAAGCTTTTTGTGTGGATGATTTTATGCCTGTTTCCTCGTTGTCCGCTGTCTGTTGCATTATTCAGTCTACCTCAATCAGGAAAATCATTGGATATAGTATGCAGCCAGCCAGCTTGTCTTACTCTCATCTTCACTTCGAAGGATTCCGTGAGTTTCCCGTTGTGGATTACTTGGCATGCAACATTGTCGTACAACTGTTGGATGAGATGTAGAATTGTTGGCGGCAACTTTAATACAATAGTGCAATTAATAGAGATATTTTGTGCATATGTTGTTGTTAAGAGTTGATATATCAGTTAGAGAAGTACTGACTACTATCAGAAAGCACTGGACATCAGTCTTATCATAATTTGGGACTCATCGTCAGTGCGTAGCCACTGGCGTTCGAACTCATAGCCTTCCAGTTACAAGGCAGGCTCGTAGGCAAGTTAGATGTCATGGACCATTGAGGCGGATCTACGAGCTTGCCTTGTAACCAGAAGGGGCCCTAGGCAGGAACCCCTGCAGTGGGTGCGTGCTATCTGTCGGTGAGTCCCACACTAGGACGAAACAACTGTTCAGTACTCCCTGATAGTATTTAATGCTTCTCTAACTGATATCAACCCCGAGATCAAACTTGGAACATGTGCTGTTGTGTTGTTTATAATTCTACTTTAGCTCCATATCAGAAAATTTTATTTGATATATAACACACCGTGATGCAGTATTAATAACTGTATGACATTTCCAGCCCAATTAATTGCTTATAATCGTATCAATGATAACCGCTTTCCAAACTGATCCAATCTCAGTTACCACTGTTCAATGAGGGAGGTGATGGCTTTGCATACATGACACGTGTCCTAGTCATCTCAGTTGATACAGCATATGAAACTTCATCAACCGACTTGTCCAACTTAGCTAACGCTGTCCGTCTAACCTCAGTATTACGCAACATATTATACCACTACTTAACACAAAAGATGCAACACAAACACTCACGGTCAAAGACATCCAGCCTTTTATACAAGTATTATTATTGTTCCCTTGGGTTCCTAGTAGAACATAGGGCTTCAACTACACGTTTCCACTTGCTTCTGTCTTCTCCTGTACTTTTCACTTGCATCCATGTCAGTCCATACTGTTTCAACTCCTCTTCAAACGACCTCCCACTCGCCACTTCCCTATCGGGTTCCACTCAAGGGCTTGACGCGCGATGTCACCCAGCGGCCTCCTCAGTGAGTGTCCAATCCATCTCCACTTTCTCCTACATATTTCTTGAGCGATTGGTTCCTGTCTTATTTGTTCTCATAGTTTCTTGTTGGTGATTCTTTCTGGCCATCTGATCTGGAGTATAGATTGAAGACAGCTGATGATAAAGGCCTGCAACAGGCTGTTGGAAATAATATTTGTGACCCGCCAAATTTCTGATCCATCCGTATAGAAGAACTGACTGACTTGACGTTTGTATTGAAAATCCGAATTTTCTTGTTGATGCAGGCTGAGTGACAGCGGAAGATTTCCAGATTGGTTTCAGGTTGATGAATGTGTTTCTCGCCTTCCCGATTCTCGCTCGATTTGACATCCTCGTCCGTTGCTTCTGTAGTCGAGACAATGCTCCCTAGATAAGTGAATGAAGTAACCTCTTTCAAATCCCTCCCGTTGATGGTGATTGGCGGTGGATTTTGCTGCTGCTGTTGTTGTTGTTGGCTGATTATTTTCATAACCTCCGTCTTGTCTATGTTCACCTGGAGTCCTGTCTTTGCTGCTTCTTCGACCAGTTTTTCAGTTTTCGCTTGTAAGTCTTCGATTTTGTGTGACATGAAACATAAATTATCCACGCGCGAAATCCAGGTCTTCTAGGTTCTTCACGTCGGTCCAGAATATCCCCGTCTTCTCGTTTCCCACTGTCTGACACATAAGTATAATCCACCTTTAATGGCCACCAAGTCTCACAGTCGTAAAGAAGGATAGAGGGAACTACTGAACAGTACAAATATACCTTTGAACGATAGCCAAATATCACGTCTACGCCATAGACGACGACATATGAATTGGTAAATGCCACATACGCCTTTTTTTCATCCATAGGCAGTCAATCCAATAAAGTCGATGTAACTTCACAGCAGTTATGTATACATATTGTGGTGAGAGCTGTCTGCGAACAAGCCAAAATTGTGGACAACAATTTACGTGAATGTTTACGTCTCCCGAATCAGGGTCATGAGAACAAACACAATTACAAAGCTTACCCTTGAGAAACTCAACAACCAATCACAGCACACTTAACGTGTCCAAATACGATTCGCAGATATATCAACGAACTTTCTAATAAACGGCCACAAAGAGGTGACAGAATAACTTTCAGCAATGAAACAACCAATCAGAAGAGGTTGCTTCACTGTTAACAATAACGAATAATAATGTACATAAAAAACTGTTGTCTTCTGTCGTTACAATAAACCCCCATGCAGATTAATTGCCAGTCGTAAGCCCGGAATAAATCGAAGCTTTCAGCTAGCAATCCCATCACTAAAACTTACTCTTATTACTACCGAAACACCAGAACACATGAAATCAGGAAGACTCCTACTAAAGTTGTAAAAGGAATAAAAGGTGCCACAGCTGATTGAAAGAAAGGATACCTTCTTAAACTGCTAAATAGAAGTCACTCAAGCCTCTGCAAAAACTGATGCGGAATTGATGCTCTTGTCCACCTCAAACATTAAACCACAACATCCTGGAAGGAAAACTGCATCCAGAACAGGCTAAATTCAGGAAAAACGAGTTCTACACGGAACGGATTCCTACATTACGCATTGCCATCGAACTTAATCACCTCTTTACCTCAAATTTATCCACTCTAAAAATGCCTTTGACAACATCGACCACAAATTTATTTGGCAAATGCTTCAACAATACACAGTGCTACACAGGCTCATAAACCTTACGAAACAGCATTATGATGATGCCGAATACCAAGTAATCCCCCACAGAAAGCTCACGAAAGTGTGTTTGAAGTGAAGAAGACACGCGTAGGACAAGACTGCCCTTCAAAATAAACAATCAGGATATGTAACTTTTCACACGTAATAAACCATTGAAAATAAGTTTACACTTGCCATAATTAAGTAACGGCAGATAATGGCATTGGCCCACCGAGGGAGAGGACTGTCGAGTGGTTGCGCCACAGGATGAGGCAGGGATAAGTGTGTTCGGTCCTCCTCAAAAAGCCAATGCCCAGTCAATGGGTGTATCATTGTGTGTCGGTGGCTTAGAGGTAGAGTGCTCGCCAACTATGCATGTGGTCCGGAGTTCGTTTACTGGCCGACGCACTCATAAACCTCACCGATCCGACAATGACGGAAGGTTTAGGGCATGAGGCTAACAACCCCACCTCGTACGTAAAAATGAACACTACTGCCCCAGAAAGTTGAAAGCTCTAGCTTAAAGCTCTATATTCCGCAGGGAAGGTAAAGGAATAAAAAAGAGGATAACACAAAAAATACTTACTACAAGAAGAAGTTCTAGACGAGCGATCAATTTTTGTTTGCGTTCGCTTTGAAAATCAGTGCTATTCGTATCACTCTCATCAGTGGATTTTAATTTTTCTTCTTCCGCTGCTGAAGAAGTGGTTGGATTTTGCAAATCATCAACTTTTGATGTTGACTGTACAACGCTTGGGCCTGGGTTATCTGGTGAGTCAACGATAATAACATCGTCATCATCCGACACTAAAGACGAAGGCTTTGATGAAGTTTGATCAATGCCATTATTTAAAGAATCCTGTGATTTGGTATGCGAACTTTCTAAAAGTATAAGTAGGCAATACAAGGAAAGTTATTAGGAATTAAGTACTTTATACAGTGACTGAAACCGAAATAAAATAAAAACAAAAATGGAACATGGAATAAAGAAGGATAACAAGGTTTCTATGCTAATTACTTAGTAAGATTAAGAAAATGGTAACGAAACAGATCCTATAAAATTGTTTTTGTACACAAAGTTCTGGCTTTATATTATGTATTGTCAAAACCTCTGTTATAACAGGGCAAATGAACTCGTAAGGTAAGTAATGTTGACGTTAGGCGTAGTGTTGGACAAAGAGGGAAAATCAATCGAAGAGACTATAAAGTTACATAGATTGAGATGGCTAGGTCACGTGCTGCGCATGCGTAACCATCGCCTCCCCCACCCCGACGGGCATTACTAGCTGATATAGGTGCAGGTTGGAAGAGTAAGTGGTGGCCAAACAAAAACATGGCATCAATCCATGAAATCCTTGAGAGTTAAACTGAATCAGATAGGGAGATGCAGACTTCTGGGTTGGGGCCCTCGGGATTCTAAAATCAGTGGCTGGAGAAAATAGGTGACATGGCTCAAAATCGTTGTCAAAGGCTTACGCAGATGTATTCAGTCTCTGTAATCTTTCATATTCCTTTCTACCATTACTCATTCTGTTTCACTCTTATACTTGTCAAGACTCTATTGATTCTCTTCATCGCTCATTTTCTTGTCTACCTTTGTGTGCTATTTGGAACGTGGCAACTCGAACTGTTGCACTTCGGTGCCCAGTTCTACGTTGAATCCAGAACATAATGTTAGAAATGGTATTATATAAATGAATCGAAATGTTAAGTTAATAAAATATAAAATATTTTCAAGCGCATTGGTTTTGTAGGGACTTTTTGTTTTGTTTGATTGGTTGGAGGATTTCATCATGATTAGCTGACCTCAGTTAGAAAACCACTGGGAAACCAGCACTGGAGTACTGGACAGCTGTTTCGACCTAGTTTGGGACTCTTCTGTAGTACGCGCCTACCGGGGTTCGAACCCAGGACCTACTGGTTACAAGACATTGATTGTAAAGTGGTTGCGCTGTCATGAATTGGCAGAAGTTAGAATTCATGAGCCATTGGATCGGGTCCTCCAACTCACACGATCTCCTCCATGTCATTGTCGCACCAACCGCCCACTCGTCGCCTCCCACTGTGATCCATTCGAGCGATGGCCTGCAATGAGCGCTATGTCATTCGACAGTCTCCTAAACATATGCCCAATCCATCCCCATTTTCTCCTACATATTTGTTGAGAAATCGGCTCCTCGTTGGTGGTTTGTTACCAGAGTTTCTTGTTACTAATTCTTTCTGGTCGTCTGACCATTCGATCTGCAATATGCAACGACGGCAGCTGTTGACAAACGTCTGCAACAGATTGTTGGAAATCCTTTTCCTGACACGCAGTGCAAGTTTCTGACCCGTAGAGAATGACCAAATTCACATTTGTGGTGAAATACCGAAACTTGTTGATTTTGTTGATTTATTTCATCATGCACATCATTTATTAGAAAAACTAAATGAAGCCCTTAAAAAAAACACTAATTTCACCATGGAATATGAAGTTAATTGGGAAATTTAACATTCTAAATATCTCCATAAAACGCAGGACCAATGATACATTGGAAGGATCTATCCATTGAAAAAGTACATGTAATGAAATTTGAGCTGTACTACAAGTGAACAACAATCTAGTCATAAAATTTAACACAGAGAGAAGAACATACGCGGGTCATAGAAAAAAAGTCCATGAAACAACGAACATCCACAAAGATTTATAGACACTTTTACAGTTAACGAAAGCAAAAATGATAATAAATATATGTGAATAAAGAGCTTATATTCATTCATACACCAAAAATTTAAAGGTCAGACAGTCTTACACAGAGAGCCAATAGAAGACTTGAAAATATCACTGGCTAGGATGTGCCCTATGGCTGGATTGATTCCTGTTTTAGCATACAGCATTAGTTCGTTAGCTCGGTCAAAGTTTGACAGATACTCTTTTCTTTGTTACATCTAAGTGTGTGTACATATATTTACGTCTGTTGTCTGTCTGTTTTCGACACAGAACTTTGCACATATGTGCGGAAGTTCAAGTCGCCACACTCCCTCCATGTAGCACACAAAGCAAGAGATGAAAGTAGGAGAAATGCATAATGTAGACAGTAAACAGAAATGTGAGACAAAGGAATAGTAATAACGAAGAACAAAACAGTTTCATTGGAAATCATAAGTCACAAGAAGTGGATGCATCTGCACCAGCCATTGAGAACGATTTTGAGCCATGTCACCAATTGTTTCCAGCCTTCATTGGCTTTTACCGTCCCGAGGACCCCAACCAGGAAGTCTACATCTTCCTACGTGACTGGCTTAGACTAACTGTTGTAGATTTCATTGACTGGTGAAGCCATGTTTTCTTTTGACCGCCGCTAGCTCTTTTCCAGCCTGACCCCATATTATCAGCTAACACTGCCCGTCGAGGAAGGCGATGACTAGGCATACGTAACACATGTCCTAACCATCTCAGTCGATGCAATTTCACAGCCTTGTCGATTGATTTCCGCTCCTTACCTAGCACTCGACTAAAGCCTACCCTCAATATTGCTCAAGTTATTATACCATTTCACACGGGAGGTAGAACGCAGACACCTATGATCAAAGACAGCTAATCTTTTCATGTCTTCCGCTCTCAATGGGCAGGTCTCACAGCCATAAAGGAGGACGGAGCGGATTGATGAGCAGTTTACACACCCCTTGGTCGATAGTCGGATATCACGTCTACGGTAGAGACGGCGTAAACTGGCATATGCGAGACTAGCCCTCTGTATCCATGCTGACATTTCGTCAGGGATCATCCCGTTGGCACTGGCTGATGGTAGTTTCCAAGTAAGTGAAGCGGTCAACGTGCTCTACCACTTTACTTCCTATTTCTAATCTAGGGGTCGGTGTAGTCCAATCCTGCAACATCATCTTATATTTTACAGGGGCGAATCGCATGCCAAACATACGAAGATTGCTGCTCAAGATGTTCAGAAGACTCTGCATTTTGTCAGCGTCCTCGCCTAGAAGGAATATATTGTCTGCATATTCTAAGTCAACGAGATTATTCCCCGGTAGCAAGTCAATCCCTGAGTCTCTGAGGTGAGTTAGGGTTAAGTCCATTAATACGTCTATGATGAAGTTGAATAGGAATGGGGATAATGGGCATCCTTGACGGACGCCACTAGTCGTCACCACTTCAGATGACAACTCGCCGTAAGCCCTCACCTGGCTGCATGAGTACGAGTATATATTTACGTGTAGCTGCCGAAGTAGATAAATCTGAAGAATGCAAAGAGTAGAGCCCACCTTTGATTTTCTGAACATACATCGAGAAGTCTGGTTTCAAGAGGCATTAAATCACTGAGCAGAACAGTCAGTCACCAGAAATGCGACTGACAGAGAACATCACGCGGACATATTGAATTCCTTCCTTCGAAATAATAAATCAAACAAGTAAGCTTAAGTCTCTCTTGAAATTTGCAGAGGCCATTGTTTAAAACTGGCTTGTCTATTCCAAAAAGTGTTTGTCTACCTTAGTAATTCAATTTCCTCAATGTTTTTTTTTTGAAATTAAATATAAGTATTGATTTCTTTTTCACTCTTAAATATATCGTCATTTATTCAGTGTCATGCTGCAGTGCCTGATATCTACCCGACAGAAAGCTGCTACCTTGACGTGGTGGTCGGGCTTGAACACCGCAATGACCCAACAAGCTATACTAGCTGAGACTTATGTCGCTCGAGGTCCTACCATGCCAGAAAGGTTGTTTGGACAGCGGTTAGACAAAAAACAGTTTCCCAATCCAATGTTATGACTCAAACAATATCACAAAATATCATGCAGGATCGGTCGGGGCCCGGATTAACAACGACCGCGCTTTCTGCTGCCGTGTGACAGGACAGAAGTGATAAATATGCTACTGAGACACACCATATGAAAAAGAACAAACAAAATCAGGCCGCGTGTGACTGGCCTCAAGCAGTTGTCCCCTGGGCTCTGCGGTCGCGCAACCAACTTCCACGGTGTGGGCAGCCGGGAAGTAACAATCGCCCTCACAATCCGAAATGCACGCCTGATATCTAACTAAATGATCTCAACTTACCATTTCCTTTCTATATCTCACTCGTGTATTAACTCAGAAGAAGTAATTGAAGATGAGTTAAGCATTGTATATGATACTTTAATCAAAAATAGTTATCCCGACAAATTTATCCAAGAAACACATGACAAAGAAAGCGGAAAAGGACTACTCACTATTCGTAAACAAGAAGCCTTTATATATACAACTGCAATTCAAGGGCGATATACCAAGTGAAATAATTACGAAGAAAATTAAGAAAATCAATTCAAAGAACTTTTAATGCTGGTGAACTACACGTATTATTCTCTACACGACCGATGGTGATTCCTCGACTGAAAGATGAAGTACCTAGACTAGCCACTTCAAATTGTATCTACCAATTCAAATGTGCTTGTGGAGAGAGTTATATCGGCCGTTGCTCTAGGAACTTGATTCTTCGTACTTGAGAACATCCCCCACTATGGTTAAGTGAAAGTGTAGTTAAAACTATTAACAGCTCGATATTAGACCATTTGGTGCAAACTGGTCACAAAGCCAGCGTTGAAGAATCCTTCTCCATCATCTACCGACTACCAAACAAATTGCCAAGAACATTGAGGTACGGCATGCTCCAAACAGCAGAAACTATTGCAATTCGCATGAAACAACCAGTGCTTTGTGTGCAAAAGGAGCAAGTCCAGCCACTACTACTTCCCTGGCCGGCCTTCAGAGGAGATTATAAATTCATAAATTTGCATTATTATCTTTCCTAATTTTTCTGATATTCATTTGGTTTATTGTTATATTGATGCTATTGAACTGTAATCCATTGATATTATTATTATTGATTCGATGTTATTTAAACGA